CTGGGATGCATCCTAGACTTTGCTTACGGTTGCGATACTACCTTGCCTGTAGGAACTACAATCACTGACAGGCCCGTCTAGCATTCGTGGCTCTCAGTCGGCACGCCTACCAGAGCTGCTCCTGGCTGCTCACCGTTTCGAGATGCGTCGTATCCTCGTGCCTACTGCAGAGATACTCAGTAGCGTACTCGACATCGACCTATGCATACGCCTCTTGGTGGAGTGCGGTCCGGTAGAGCGCTATGATGGGATCCTGTATGCCCAGAGCTCATCTTAGGTCATGCAGGATACTGACTCACTATGGATGGCCGTATCGAAGTATGCTGGCAAGAGGTTTGGCAAGCTGGTGGCATCTCCAAACTTCCCAAGACTCCCAGTCTCGGTAGGACATACACTAACGTCGTGTCAGTTGTTGTTGTTGTTATTGCTGCTCCCCCTCCCTCCCTATAGATCCTCATGCTCCTGTTATTGGATGATGACCTTAAATGTGGTATATCCAATTCTATAGTATTCAGGGAAGGTGCTACTGATCGTCAACTTAGTGAGGATCAGGTATTACATCAAGCCACACGCTACGCTTGGTCCCCACTCTACTTCTATATAGGTCATGTTTGCTATATGTCGATGGTCGGTAGCGCGTAAGGATATAGATGATAACACAGGCCATTTGGATCCTCTTATACCACTCGTCAGCAGCCTACCACCCCCAGCTCTTTATCAAAGGTTGTTTCCCCTCTCAGGTCCGCTTCGGGCTCATGTCAGCCATCACTCTGGCTATGCTACAATCCTCGCCATTATCACATTTCATGAGTGACCCAGGTCGATGTGGTGAGTTTACTACCTCTCCCCTTCTCAATAACATCATCATCATCAGATACCGTCCTGCAGTCTCTATTACGATCGGCCTTGCTGCAGCATATGGATAACCGTTCACCTGTCAACCGTCGTTCTTGCTATCCTATGTGGCGGCCTGGAGCCGTAGGGATGCGTGTCTATTCATAATGCCCCCATCTCACTAGTTCCCTCAGGGCTGTGGTCAGCATGAAGGGTGGTTGTGCTATAATTGGATACCTCGTACTGAGGGTGGCTCGATGCCTATAGATATGGTGCCTAATGAGGATGCTGGCTACGCCTTCTTGGTAGTGTTCCTCTAATCCTACTATTCTGTCTATCATACTTTAGGTCGACTGGGGCTCGCATCGTGTTGTTTGTATTGATGAAGGCCCTCCACGATCCACTCGTAATATACCGAGATCTCCTGAGGAGGCCGCGGCGACATTCCCCTATCCACCATCGATGCGGGTTATAGCTGGGAAGGGTGAAAGAGGTGAGTTGGGAATACCTTTTGCTGTTTGGAGAGGTTGGTCTCCTGTCCCATGGTGTGGTCATGGAGGCGGTCCCATGTTAGGGAGTTCTCTCGCGCACTTGGCTGAGCCTATGAATGCTGTAGAGTTTGAGGATGAGATCTATATAGCTGATCGTGGCAATAACAGAGTGGTGGCATGGCCATCTGATGGCAGTGGCACGATGGTTAGTTCCTCTACTGAACTTGTACTCATTGATTTCCCCACTTCAGGGTCGCTTGGTCTCGGGT